AGGTATTAGCATTAGGAAAATATTCTTATAAACTGTGTAATTATGTGTTTAATCTGTATTTTGTGTATATATATACACACACATAACATTATGTAAAATGGTATATATATATATATTATTGTATGTTGTTTTATAAAACATACAACTCATCTTTTCATGAAATATTAGTATATGTTCATGTCATTTTTACAACTGATGAATATTCTACTGTTAATTAATAACACTGACAATTATAATTCAGTAATTTATTATATCATTACCTAATGCCCTATTAGTGAACAATTAAATTATTTCCAATATTTTCTTATATTCACATCAAGACTAACTTTTTGTGGTAGTTTTATGGGGCCTTCCTTAGTTTAACTATGGGATTTGCTGGAACAGGAATATAAATATTTATACTTCAGATAATCTACACTGCCAAATTGCTCTTTACTGAAGTGGTAGGAATTTATACTCTCACCTGCTGTAGCCACTAGAGTAGCTACTTCCTATTCCCTCACTCACACTTACTTACACTTTGACTTAGTAATAATGTCTAATTCTTGGGTCAACTGAATTACCAATGAGGTTGAGAATGGTTTTCTGTTCATTTTTCATTAGCATTTCTTAATTGTGAATGGTATATTTACTTTAAGTGGATTATTATACTACTTGCATTACAAAGAATTTCATTTCTCAGTAGGATCCACCAATAAGTTTATCAGTTTACTATTACTGCTGTACCAAATTACCACAGAGTAGTGGAGATCAAAAGTCAGAAAATAGGTGTAATGTGGCTAAAATCAAAGTATTGACAGGGCTGCATTCCTGCTGGAGGCACTAGAGGAGAATCCACTTGCTTGCTTTTTCCAGCTGTAAAGGCTGCACACAGTCATAAGCTCAAGACCCTCTTCCAGCAATGGCATCTCCCTGACCTCTATCACATCGCCTTTTCATAACTGACCCTTCAACTTCGCCCTTGTAAGAACTCTGGATTACATTGGTCCCACCCAAATACTACAGGATAATTTTTCCATCTCAAAAACTGGTAACATATTAATAATTTCTGGAAATTAGGACATGTACATCATGGGGCAGAGGGCTGCATTATTTACCATCATGTCTTCTCTCTATAGTCTTTTGGTTAGTCCACAATATGTTAGGTTATCCTCGGAAAAGACTGAAAATATTTAATTCTAATATTATACTTTGTAAATGGCCTACAAAATACAGGTCTCTGAGAGATACCATTCAAATTAAAGGCACAATACTTTTGCCCAGGATAGATAAAACATTTGGGCACACCAGAGAAAATGATGTGGTGTTTTCTAAGGATATTGTGTGCATATTATAGCTGATATACAATAAGCTAGAGTGAACTCAAGTGGGCAGTTCTTTTTTTCCCCATTCCCTTGGTGTAGAGGCCAGGAACGGGCACAGGGCAGGTTTTCTAGGATCCCATGCAGACCGGGTAAAGGAGGAATCAGAGTCCTTAGTGGCTTTTTGCAGGTCTTTTTATTGGGATTTACCTGGTACACAGCAGGTAAGGGTGCCGGGGGGCCAGGAGGCTGGCAGCTCTCTATTCTATCTGGGCTCTCCGGCCTTCTCTCTGCTTCTGCTTCTCTTGCTTCTCTCTCGGCTTCTCTTTTGGCTTCTTTATCAGCTTCTCTTTCAGCTTCTACTGGCGTCCCCGTGACGCCGCCCTAAAAGCACAGTCTTAGCCCAGATGGATCTCATCTACCTATGCCCTCACCCTACACCAGGTGCCCGCCATCAGGCATGCATTCCAGACCGCAAGGATCCATCATCTATCCTGATGGCGGGAGGGCAGAAAAGCCTGACTTTTTCCTTACCCTACAATCTATCCCCTCAGGGTTTTCTGCCATATAATCCACACATACACAACTTTGTTTCTTAGCAAACACAAACAATGCAGCCATGACCCACAAAAGCAAATACATCACAATGTAACAAAATACAACAGAACACAAATAAGTCCAGGCAGGGCCCCAACCTAGTGCAAAAGACAATTATTGGTACCAGCAGATGAGCCACCAAATCTGCTGCCGAAGGCACTGCTCATACGAGGGAGGGGAATCATTCACAGCATCTACTGTAACACACCAGGAGCTGCCAGGCTTCCTGGCCTTTTCTGGCTGTAGTCTCGGCTACAAGCCACACACAGCATCCACCCCCAGGATGCACTCACTCTGGGATTGGTGATTCTATTCTGTTGGGGGTAATCGCCAACCCTCAGGGTTTCTGTCTGCAGTCGCTCCAACATTCGTCTGTCATGGCCACCAATACGACTCTCAGACCCCTGCACTCAGGCCAACCCACTGCATAAGCACATGGGTCGGGGATCCAAACTCTACATTCGGCTTGGGCTCCATCCTAAGCCACGTTCACCCACCCGTCCCCCAAGGACAGGTTCCTCAGCTCCTCACCCTCACTTGACAATGAGCAGGGCATCACCCACAGGTGATTTTACGAGACTCACAGGTCTTCAGCATACTCAGGCTGCTTAACAGCCACTCAGGGCTTCCCAAACTTAGCATCAGCACCACCTTTTGCCTTCTCAGTTGGCTTTTCTCCTCTGCCTGGCTGCTGGGTATACACAGGCTGCTTTTGGCCATCAAGGCCCACTGGCCACCCCCAGATTCTCAAAAAAAAACTATAACCTGCCGAGGTCCTCCGCCTTCTGGCGGGATTGTCAGTCCAAGTCTATTAGGCCTCTCCCTGCATCAGCACTGGCGAGCTCCAAATTGCGGTTCTCTCTTCGCCGACGATTCTTGCTGCCTTAGGGGTCGTTGGCTGGTCCTCTCGGGCGTCTCTTTCAGGCGAGGTCTCGTCCTGTAGCTCCTGGACCTCGTCCATCTCCTTGCCGCCATGACACCTCCAGCCTTGTCACAAACACAGTCTGTTACTTCTTAGTCCCTCCAGGTCTTCGGAGGGCTCCATACCCATCTGCATGGATCATCTTGCCGACTTACACCAATTGTAGAGGCCAGGAACGGGCACAGGGCAGGTTTTCTAGGATCCTGTGCAGACCGGGTAAAGGAGGAATCAGAGTCCTTAGTGGCTTTTTGCAGGTCTTTTTATTGGGGTTCACCAGGCATATGGCAGGCAGAGGTGCTGGGGGGCCAGGAGGCTGGCAGGCCTCTCAGCCCCCAGCAGGTCTTCACTCTGGGCTCTCTGGCCTTCCCTCAGCTTCTGCTTCTCTTGCTTCTCTTGCTTCTCTCTTGACTTCTCTTTTGGCTTCTTTCTCAGCTTCTCTTTCAGCTTCTACTGGCGTCCCCGTGACGCCGCCCTAAAAGCACAGTCTTAGCCCAGGTGGATCTCATCTACCTATTCAGGACCACAAGGATCCATCATCTATCCTGATGGTGGAAGGGCAGAAAAGCCTGACATTTTTCCTTACCCTACACTTGGGTTTGCATATCTTTACTATCTTAGTTCAGGCCTCTTTTTGTAGACCACTGGCAAGGGACAAGCTAAAAAAGTTTAGATGATTCTGAAATCTGGACCACTGCTCATGGGAAAACTAAATGACACAATGCATTTTTTTAAACTGTGAGAAAATCTAAAAACTTAGAGCCAAGTTTAAAAGAAAGGAAGTTTCAACTGTGCACCCTCTGGTTGTATTCCAAGTAATATTGTTGTTTTTTTGCAAGTTGAATTTCTGGCTCAGAAATTTCTATTCACTGATTAAATTGGACTCATTTCAATGTATGATACTGGTTGCTTTCTACAAACAAAATTGGTAAACAACAATATAATCTATTCTCTTTATTAATAATAAAACTCCATTATTCAGGATGGCATTATTTTCAATAGTTAAGAAAAAATTTGTTTTTAAATAATTGCTATCATTTATAAAATATAGTATTCCTTTGACATAGTATAATTGTGCATGCAAGACTACCAAAGCCTTTGTCAGTTGTCTTTTTTTTAAAAAGATTTATTTATACAAGAGCTGGGCACAGGCTGGATGCGCGGGAGGTTGAGAGGATTCACCAGAGACAGAACGGGAACAGAACAGGCAGACTGACTAAATACACTGCTGAGGGGAGCAGCGGGTGCAACAGGAGAGGTCTGCCACATGTGGGACCCTCGCTGGCTGGCCAGGATCAAACTGGCACTGCAGAGGCTGCGGACAGCTTCACAGTGCTGCACTCAACCACCTGCGCCACCAGGGGAGGCCCAATTGTCTTTAAAAATAGCTTTCTCTAGGGCCTCCCCTGGTGGCGCAGTGGTTGAGCGCTGGGCTGCGAAGCTGCCTACAGCCTCTGCAGCACCGATTCTATACCCGGCTGCCATTGAAGGTCTCACATGGCGCACAGACCTCTCCTGCCACGCCTGCTTCTCCCCTCAGCAGTGTATTTCATCAGCCTGCCTGTTCTGTTGCCTGCACTGGCTCTGGTGAATTCTCTCACCCTCCCATGCTTCTGACTGTACCCAGTGCTTGTATAAATAAATAAATCTTTAAAAAAAAAATAGCTTTCTCTAAAGCATAGGAAAATTGATAACAATATATTAATGTTATCAGTAATTGATAATACAGATATATTTGATTTTGAATCAATTTAATTATTATTAAGTCACCACCAGCAGCATGAATTGATGTGATCTCATTACTTTAGTCTTGAGAGTTGCTTTTGTCTTGAGAGTTGCTTTTGCTATTCATTGTCATGGGATACTTCACACAACATTTTATGGCAACAATTTATGGCATTTAGAATAGTTTTTTTTCACCACGCAATTTTCAAGTACAGCAATACTGCATGATTTTTAATACCTATCTAAGGGAAAATTAAATATAAGGCTGGAATAAACCAAAGCATTATTTCCCTCTGATAATGATAGGTTAGCAGTAAATAAAATGCTGGAAATAGAAATTATTAGCTACCACTCAATAGTCTTACTCTTTAATACTTCAGTTCTCCTCTCACAGACAAAACTGGCATAAGCAACATGGTGATTCCTGTTAAATGTTTACAAGAGGGAAAGAATGTTACCTAATTAATCACCAGTGGACTGCACCAGTGATTCAGTGTTGGTTGTTTCTCATGCAGGTGTTCATAATTTGAATGCAATTTTATGAGCACAGGTAGTTTAGCAGCTTTTATTCTCTCATTCAAACCAAGGCATTTAAGACAATTTTTATGTTTGTGGAGTCACAGAAGCATAGAATGTGAGAAATGGAACAGCCTTTATATGACTTCATGACATATTCTTTGACTTTATAAATGAGGAAACTAAAACCCAGAGAGACCCAATGTCTCCCTACCCCAGATCCCTTTGTATTTGCCCTAAATGGGTTTATTAATGGCCTCAGAGCTGGCAGTAGACAAAATACGAAGAACATAAAGACTTGCTTACCCAGCCACTCCACTCAGTCTTTTTCCTCCCTGTCCACTTACACGTATTTAATGCTATCCCACTTCCTCACATCAAAGTCAGTTAAAGCTCTGGTCTCAGACTGTTATGCTTCACTGTGTGTTTAATTTCATTAGTTTCCCTGAATTATTTGCATTGAAAATTACAAAATATGGAATTATGAGGAATAGTTTGACATTAGTAGATGAATGAGGTGTTAACACTTGATGATGGCCCTCCTCCTAAGTGTAAAACTGAGCCACTAGACCCTTAATTAGTAATGTTAATTTTAAAAAAATATATATTGGCCTCAGAAACCTAGAGTGTATCTGTGCTGCTTCAATGGCCCACATTTACATAGAATTGACTTTCACTTGATTTTATTAACAAAGCTACAAAGAGGAATTATAAAACAAGTGTAAATAACAGTACAACAAAGCTCCACTCACCCACCATTAATACCATGAAAATGTGAATTTTGACTTTCCTGTGTGATATATTCTACTCACATCTTTTTAATATTTCCTATCAGAAGAAATGACTCACTGATTATTCAAATCTACTTCTTTTTCTCTGTGATTGTACCACTTAGAGTTTTACTTTTTTTTTAACCCTGTATAAATGGATTCATTGTGTTTGTCTTCTGCAAATTGCTTTTTTGGTAAATTTATGATACTGAATCATGCATGTTTGTATTCCTAGTGTATTCCATTTCACTACTTTGTAGTACTCTACTATATAACATATACTTTATTTGCTTTGGAGACTATGAATATTTACTGTAAATACTGATACGTTGGGATTTAATTCTAGAATCTATTTCATGAAATTGAAAATTAAGGAACTTCACTAATTTACTCATCTGTTCAAAGTATTGATAAAACTCTTGGAAAATCTAAGTAAAACAAACAGAAGCCCTGCCCTCTTGGAACTATATTCTGAATCTTTGAAAACTTACATCTTATTGATCTTAGCATACCTTATGTTCAAACTACTTAACTCCTAATTCATATGCTATTGCTGTAATGTTTTATAGTCCTATTTTTTGCTTTATACTTAGTTTTATAATACTATTTCTATTAATTCTATGAACATTTATGTATACTTTCTACTTTCTTTGTTGAGCATTCTTACATTTCACACATTTCATCTGGAATCATTTTCCTTTTATCTAACAGATTCTTTGTGGACTGGTGTTGATGCAAAGTCTGACTATTTTTATTTTCTGAAATAACTTTAGAATGCCTTTAATTTTGAAAGCTATATTTGCTGTACAACTCTAAGTTCACTATTATTTTCTTTTATAGTTTGAATTCATGTTACTATCCTCAGACTTCAATTGTTGCTATTGAGAAAGCATTCATTATTCCAGTTATTTCATTGTAGGTTTTTTTTCTTCCTGACCATTTTAAACACCATTTCATTGTCTATAAACTTACCACGATGGGTCTAGCTGTTAACTTGTTTTTATTTTGCTGCTCAGAATTTCAGACTTATGATCTTTAATGTTTTTCATCAGTTCTGACAATTTTCTCAACTTTCTTAATCCTTTGAATATCATCTTTCTCCCTTTCTTTCACTACACCCCTCCTGATGATCCAATTAGGTGTGTATATCTTTTTTTATTTCTCTTCCACATTTTCTATTTCTTTATGATCCTGTACTAGATTTTGCACAAATTTTTTAAAAAATTGTCTCATGTTTGTTACTACTTTCTTCAGCTATTTCTAATGTCTTGCAGTGAGTGACTGAGTGTATATATGCGTAGAGTTTAAAAATTATTTCAATCATATTTTTATTTGCGAAAGTTATTTTTATTATTTATACTTTTATTATAGTCATTCCCCTGCTCATCTCTTTTATTCTCTTCTATTTCTTTCAATATATGAGATATAATTATATTCTATCATATCTCTGCTAATTCTAACCACTAAAGTCTTTATGGGTCTGATTATTGTGTCTTTTCTTGATACTGACTTTGATACATGTGGCTCTATTTCCTTATGTATGCTGTGGTATTGATTAAAAGCTCACATTTTCTGGGAACTCATCTGTGGGCCTTCTTATCTCTTGATGTCAGGCCTGGGTGATAAAAGGCAGGCTCCTTCAAATATGACTTGCATTTTCTTCTAAGCAGCTGAGAATCCTCTCAGTCCAGAATCATGTAAACTAAGTTATTTGCTTAAGGAATTTTTTACCACTGAGGTACTATGTGTATGGGACATAATCCCAGTAGGAGCCAGAATTCTCTATCCAGCAAGGTTTCAAAAAGATTTTTTTTTTCTTTTGGCCTAGAAATTATCTAGTTGATTTTAGTTACCTTCAACACTAAAGGCTCCAATATTTTTGTGTAGACCTTTTATTAAATTTACACTCTACAACTATTACAAAAAGCACTATGCACATCGTAATTCATTACTCATCTCTGTATCTCCAGTGTTTAACAAAGTGTCCAGAACTTAGTCATATCTTAGTAAAAGGCATATACACACAACTTAAGAGTGAGGGGAAAACATTCTTATTTGAATATTTGCCTGCCAGGCATCCTAGTAAGTTTTACATGGGTTGATTATTTACCTGCTAGGCACAGAGAGTTTCACAGGGGTTCTCTCAGATAATAAACCTCACCACAACCACATGCATTCCTAAAGAATACTCATATTCACAGAATCACTTACAAAAGTAAGGATTATGGGGGAAAGTATTGAGAGCAACTTTCATGAGAGAGCTCGTGGTCATCTAAGTTGAGAACAACTTGGATACTACCAGAAACTACTAGAATGCTAATTCTAGGCCAAAAGGGGTACAGCAACCCCCAAACTCTTAAGGTATGCATTCTCTAAAAGGGTCCCAGATATACAAGTGCACAAAGGCAAAGGAAGCATACTCAGTGTGAAAACTTTTTAATTGTTGGAGAGAGAAAGAGAGAGAGATTGATTTTAAATAATAGTCTCCCAGTAAAATGCCCTAAATTACCCTATTCCCTCTTGGGCAAATGCCCAGCCAGATAGGCTCACCCTGAAGCAGAGGTGCTGAAGCCCTAAAGCTTGTCTCCAAACTTTTGATAAGGGACTACAAGAAAAGGATTAGGCAGGCCCCATAAAGTTGGGACAGAAGGAGAGTCAAAATTCAAAATATACAAACAAATCCAACATGAAGCCCAGATAACAGTTACCATTGTCTCTGCCAAGGAACAGCCTCCCCTTTTGTCTCTCAACCACAAGTCTCCTCCAAGTATCTCTTCCGGTGTCCTCTACATGTCTCCTCCAAGTATTCCATTCCCTTCTCAATTTAACCTCCCTTTATATAACCACCTTGCTTCTTTCAGAAAGTCCAGTTCATGGAACAATGGGAAATGTAATGCAAAGTGGCTCATATATGTGGAGGTGAAGGAAATGGTGATTCTCGTCCTCCTGTTATGGAGATGCCTCCTTAATATGAGTAGGGGTCAGATTATCAAAAATCATGTTAAGAATTTTGAATTTTATTATGAATGTGATAGAAATCTATTGTTGGATTTGGAGCAGGGATATGTAAGGACTGAGTCACAATTTAAAAACCTCATAGCCATAGTGTGGTAAATGGATTTTACATGTGTACATATGTATATGTGTGTGTTCGGATGAAAATAAACAGAAGAGTTTAAATAGTCCAAATGTGGAGTAAAGTGATAGTGATGAAAGTGGTATAAAGCAATCAGATTTAGGATAGACATTAAAGGTAGAAACAACATAATTTGTCGATGTCCATTCCTCATGTGAATATGAAATGATGTATCATTTGCATAGAAGGGGAAGTAGAATAAGAAATAGAGGCCTTAATTTCACAAAACTGTCAATTAAAATTAGAGTAAAATCCGTAAGTATTATATAACATTCCATTTTGAATTGTTCAGATAGAAATCTTTCAACCCCAAACATCATATAGCTAGCACCAATGTATTGGTTCAATGTTCTTTATTTATAAAATCTTTTTTAAAAATGAAATCTAATACCACCATAATGCATGAAATACATGGTTGTATTTTAGTCATATAAAAGCTTTATATGCATCTAAGCTTCTTTGTAATAAATTTAATTAAATTATAAGGCTAATTTGAAGAACATAGGAGAATTAGTACCTTCAAGAAAATGAAACATCTGTTCAGTGGCATGAGACCTAGATGGATGGACGAATTTAGAGAAGCTTGAAAGGTACAAGAAGTAAAATTATCATATACCATGACCTAGTAGGATTCATACCAGGGATGCAAGGGTAAGTCAACATCCAAATATCAATCAATGTAATTCATCACAACAACAAAAAGAAAGATAAAAAACATATGATCATATCAACAAGTGCTGAGAAAGCATTTGATAAAATTCAACTTCCATTTATGATGAAAAGCCTCAAAAAACTGGGAATAAATGGAACATACCTTAACACAATAAAATCCATTTATAACAAATCCATCACTAACATTCTTAATGGAAAATAGAAACTCTTTTCCATCCAGATAAGGATGCCCACTCATACCACAACTATTCAATATATATTGGGTTATCAGAAAACTCATAATGCATTTGTCATGCCTTTTATGACAACCCAATAGTTTTGGAAGTCCTCACTAGAGCAATTAAACAAAACAAAAAAGATACAAAATGAATCTGAATTTTGAAAGAAGTAAAACTACCATTATTTGCAGATGACATGATAAGCTACATAGAGAACCTGCAATACTCCAAAGAAAAACTAATAAAACAGTCAATTTAGCAAAGTGGCAGGGTATAAAATCGATACACAAAAATTCAGTTGCCTTCCTGTATACAAACAATGAGATAGCAGAGAAAGAAATTAAGAA